ACACACACACATACACACACACACGCGCGCGCGCGCGCACACACACACACACACAATCCCGCTGAACGTCGCGTAGACCATAAGAGTATAACATGATGACTGTTTAGAGTGGGTGTGGAAAAGCGTCTTAAGTGGTTTTTGTGCAATTCAACTAATGCTTAACAAAACTGCTGTCACTAACTATTTACTTGTGTGTGGCTGGTTGATGCTCTGGTATGGTACTCCTTATTTCCTTACAAACATAACATACCGTCCTTATCTCTCCTTCGTATTTTCTTCGTGTGTACTACTTCTAATCTTCGGCACCCGTATGACCTTGCGGGTATTTTTATTGCAAGTGCTGTAAAACTCTTATTGGAACTTACTAAACTAATCTTTTACTTCATTGTTTCAGAAATAGAAACCTGTCCCACTTGTCGTGTGCCTAAGGGAGACTGAAGTACAGCGAAATCACTGTTGTGGCGATACATTCTATCTGTCCTAGGACTTCAGGTCTCATTCTCATTTGAAGCACAGTGAAAGAGGACTTATCATAACACAATGGCCGGTATGTATTATGCTGTTATGTTATTTACAATACAATGTAATGTGCGTTTTCCATCCAGCTTAGAAAACGTATTGCAACGCAGAAGCAACTTTTTTTTTCGTGTTTTTAATCTGATAGTATTATTTGATTGCTAAATAGACGTGTATTGGTCAGTTCGTGGGTGTAACTCTTGACTGAATGGTTGGAATAAGGAAAGCAGGCGAAGATTAAGCACCTATTAATCTCCTTCGTTTGTTCCTGAAGGCTTAGCCAAATCTTTCTAACTATAACTTTTGAATTATTGAGGCCGAGTGTATCTCATGTTTGGGAGGTTTGAGGGCGCCACATTAGGCCCTACCATCATTTCTGTCCGTTCCGTCTTTTGTAGTGTCTATCTGTCTTACTTTTTAGTTCACTATCTAACTGTTCTTGGGTAGAGGTGTGCTTCTCTGCTGCTGGTGCCTGTGACGTTAGGGCTGAAAGTTTCGTAAAGTCTTTATTATAGAGTATTACAACGAAAGGCTTCAGGTGCTGTAAGGAAAAAACACCATTAGTCTCGTTAAAACTATCTCGCTTATTTAACACAGTATTGAAAAACCTGTAGCAGGTTGCAACCACATATTATATTCTGAGCCTAGTATGTGAAAATATCACTCATGTACCTCCATTAACTAACTGATAACAAAAGTACGCCCGCACTAAAATAACGTTATACAAGAGGTCGTGATACCCTAAAGTGTAAAAATATTCCCTCAACGCAGAATTTAAGTACAATTAATTGGCTTTGTGAATAATGTACAAGAATCCACAAACTCATGTATAATGCCATTATAATATTCGGGTTGTAAAGTCTATATGCATAACAGATTTTTAAAAAAATGTATATCGCAGTCTTCCCTTAAAACCGATGTACTTTTGAGGGTAGACAAGATGGCTTATCATGGCTGTTTACTTAATCTCGTGCATGTAGCAGCTGCAAAGGTGCGCCTTCCAAAACGTTTAGACGAGGGATATATGGGGCACATTTAGTTGAAGTCGTGCAATTGAAATAGGAATTGACAAATGTTATGGTCGTGTTTGTTCAAGATATTATTTGGTGTTCCAATTGGTATCTTGGTTTCATGCTGCACTACAAAGCAGATGGCTTTCTTTGGATTCCCCAACTTGTGCTGTGTGGGGGAGTTTTTGAGACTTTCCATGTACCCATTTGGTTCGGTCCTGCTAGAGATCGGAGGTTCTGCCTGTAACATGATATCCTTACTGTGTTGAAAGGAGCAAGGAATCTATATAATATCCAATTGCCAAAATAGAGTAGTTATTCAAATTGTGCGAATGTGATCAGTGGTGCCAATGCGGTGGCAGTACTGAAAAAAGAAGCAAGGTATAATTAATATTATGTATTATGGCGCTTTTATTTGAAAAAGACAAACAGTTCCAGTTTTAAAATCTCCTTAAAATTGTTGCAGATACCTTGTTTGTACTCGCGAACACAACTAGATTTATTTACAACTTTGGTTACCCAAAATGGAGGTAGTTTAACATATTAAACTAAGTTGGCAGTTTAGAAATATCAGTAGCTGCTCACGCTATGCATTGAACATTTTGAATCCATAACCCCTCAACACATTTAATCAGTGACAGTGTTGCATCATGAACACACACGAACATTGATTACTGCAGGGGTTGGAGGGGGGGGGAGAGGTAAAGTAACGTCACAGTGTTCTATTTCCGTACTTGTCTGTCTCTTATCAGCAGTCGGCTCGTTCCATTTTGTCCATCAAACCAATGTTATCTAAAAGGGCCGTAGTGACACACTTAGTGACGATATTGAAAAAAAAACCCAGTTGCACTGGGAAAGAAAGACATACTTGTCTGTACATAAATCTTGTGAAAAAAAGGCACTAGCAACTAGTCTACACTTATATCTTAGTAACAACTGCTGCCCCATGAATGTTTAACTTCATCATGGGCATTCTGCTGTGCTCCTCTTGCGGCCAGGGGACACAATAATGTTGTTTTATTTGTTCATTCGTTTGCTTGTCTGTTTGTTTATTTGTTTGTTGTTTGCTTTTTTGGTTGGGGGGGGGGTGAGGACCATTTCAGTTGCATTTGATCTCTGACTTTGCCCCTTCTTTTCAATTCCTGTTTGTTGTTGCTATATTTGACAACACTCGGAACTGGCCACTTACAACAAACTACCGCCCTTGTGTGAATCGTGCGAGGCCAAAACAATGATAGGCCAAAAGAGAGGCTCTCGTGGCCTACTGTAATTTGTCATATAAGGTTAACAACCGGCTCGCTTTGCTTCAGAACTTGGTAAAGTGCTTCAGAACTTGGTAAAGTGCTTCAGAACTTGGTAAAGTGCTTCAGAAATATGTATATGAGGTGGGCTTAGCTTTCCTCACTTTGATTGTTTGTTTATGTGTTTGTTTGTCTGTTTGTTTGTTTGTTTGTTTGCTTGCTTGTTTATGTGTTTGCTTGTTTGTTTGTTTGATTTTTTTTGCTTGGGTTTTATTTTTCGAGTAATGACAGCCCCTGGTGAAATGAAACCGTTCAGCTGGCTGACTTGCCCGTCCACGAACATTAGGCTATGTCAAAGAAAAGGGATTAAAGAAGTAATAAAATCAGCTAATCATAGGAAACGTGCGACGTAAAGCACAATTAGCTACTTTAGGGCAATTCAAAGCTCAATGATATGGGTCCATGAACCCAAAATGTAACTTTACATGATCTAAATCCACCGTCAGATTAATAGAAATTGTGTTCAGCCACGGCTTGGGCCACTGTCACAGTTATATTTCGTTGAAGGACGTTTCAAGTGGTTTACTCTTTGCAACTTTTTGTGTAGACTGACAGGTGACATGCCTGTGTTTGTTGGTGATACTTTATTTGTTCCCCTACTCCTTTTGAAATACTTAAGTCCCCCAAATACTGGTTGGCGTACATTAAACCTTTTGAAAATGCTTTCACTTTCAGAGTTTGAGCTTGAAGGCATAGCGCTAGGCTACTTGCAGCACAAAATAGGCTCTCGCTCAATAAAAGATTTGAATTACTGTTCAAGCCAACTTACATGAAATGAAACAGGAAGAAAAAAAAGTTTTGAGTGTATGAGCTGCTGCTACAGCTGTCCCATTGTTAGACAATGCTATAATGTGCTGCCGAAGACAAATTTGGAAACTGCTCTGACATCTTAATTAAGCCGTCTTGCCCTGAGATAACAGTGCCATGGTACAGGCTATCGAAAGTGACGTTCACTTCTTTACCATATACGTACTTTTAGTACCTATTTAGATTATCCTCAGTCAAATTAACAAATTATAACTTTCGATATTCTTATATATTTTCAAAGAGACATAAATGCAGTTATACTTTCTGTTACTTATCCCACTTCTGTGGATACAGTGGTCTGTGGTTAGGACTCGGGACGATAATGCCAAATGCCTCAAGCTGCTGATGTCAGTGTTGTGGGGAAGCGATCATTATGAAAATTTTATAATGCCAGTCGTCCCATAACGTGGCATTTCGAAGTATCGATGCGCTCTTCCTTCCTGCTGACTTTTACAGCAATATATTATTGTTGTAATGCGTGTTCGCCTACCAAACAACATTTTATGCCTTAGCACAATGGTCCACTTGACAGAGAAAATGTGGTTGGTTGGTAGGCACCATTCGTAGGTCTTACTTCCTTACCTGCTCTGTTTTCTGTTTGCCCATGTTACTTTTTTCACCAGCACACAATGACCGTTATTGTGCCTTATAGTGATTTAACTTTCTTTTTTTCTTTTTTTTTTTTTTTTTTTTGGGGGGGGGTTCAGTTGTTCTGGTGGAGGGTTATGTGAAGACATTAATGGGAATATAGTGAATTGGGACTTTTGTCAGTTATGAACCTGGAGACATTTTAAATGACATTGAGACCAATTTTCTTCTCTCTATATCACTAGGGCTCAGTATGTAGTGTTGGGGGAGGAGGAAGGGGGGAGAGGATCCTAACATAAAGTTCAACAGTTTATAAAGCCCAAATTTGCCCTCAAAATAACACAATTGTGTCAAAAACAATGTTAAAGCCACATTTGAATGTCAAATTGGGTGTTAGAGCCAAACAAAATAAAAAGAAAGAGAACTGTCTTACATTTTGTCCTTTATAAAGTCCAGAAATACATGATTATTTATAGAACAGACCTATTGTGCAATCGAAATTTTTGTTATCCTTTTTATTTATCCACTCACAGGCATGGTTTAGGTTTTAAGGCCTGAACAGTGAAAAGAATGATATTGCATTTTGCAGTGCAGCTGAAATTAACTATCCTCTTTTCATTTAAACATAATTATGTTGTCTTTTCCAGGACTCAGGAAGGCAAAGAAGTATGACTGGAAAGACACAAATCTCGCTCTGTTTGGATCAGACTTGGAGAAAAATGTCAAAAGTAAGACTTTAATAAATTTTATTCTTCTGTTCTTCCCATGTTTATGTGAGCAATGACGATTGTTTAATTAAACGAGGAAGTGGGCTCACTCTTCTAATCCTCTTATCTTGCTTTATGGGTTTGATTTTCATGGTTAATAACATTGGCAAACGCTTTCTTATCAGTGTGAAGCACCACGGAAATTGTTTCTAGAGGACGTGCCCGCACTATGTGCTCAATTTCATACAAAATCAACCAGGAAGTTGGCTCTCATTTTTAATCCTTTTATCTTGTCCAATGCATGGGTTTGATTTTCATTGTCAATAACATAGGTGACTGCTTTCTTATCAGTCTGAAATATCACAGGAATAGTGTATAGAGATGCCTACACTGTGAGCAAAATTTAAAACAGAATCATGCCCCGTTTTGATTAAATATTGGGTGCACACTGCTAATTTGATTCAGTCAGGTCCAGCCAAATATTCCTTTTTGGATGGAGCAAAAGCTATCATTTTGGTACAGTACGACAAAATTCAGCTTAATTCAACCATAACCTTCAAAATCAAACCTGTTTGTTTTCAAGATCTTGAGTTGAATCAGAAGTATTATATTTATAGTGGTAGCTTTTGTCCCATTCATGGAGGAAAATCTAGTTGGCCCTTTAGTTTAGTTTTAGTTAGAGTTTTACTGCACTTGCAACAAAATAAGGTCATATAAGTGCCGAAGAGTGGATGTCTTACGAGAGAGAGTAACATGCACAAAAAAGAAGGAGGAGAGATAAGGACGACAGATGTTTGATAGGAAGGAAGAAGCAAACCCTCCACCACACCCCCAATCACCCCACTATCTGGCCCTGACAGAACCAAGTGAATCAAATTAGCAGTGTGTACTGGGTATAATTTACAGGAGCAAGTACTATGATAAGAATCATGATGTCATCTCAGCCTCACACTCTTGTGACTAACGGTTGTGTTTGAGAGTAGAACTTATGTGTATGAAAATCGAGTAGCAACAAAACAATCAATTACCGCGAAACTTGTTTAAGTCAGCCACCCTTTATCAAGAAGAGAAGTGGTCATCTTGGACAGGTTTTTCTCTTGGACAGTATCATTATGATGTATAGATGAAACTCAAAGGGAGGTATGGGAAGTGGTTATTTGTGCAGATGATGGTCTTGGACAGGTAGTAATTAAAGCAATCCAACTTGTATCTTCCAGAACATATAAAGGTGTAGTTATGTTTCTTTATTCCTATACTAGGGAAATAATTTTTTTTATTAGTATCATTATTGTTTGCTGTCTGGACATTTTTTTCTTTTTCTTTTACTTACTTTTTCAGTATTGGCACCCTTTTCGTATTTGTGTATATACATAATATGTTTAGCAATTCACTTCCTCTTTCAATTTTCTCAGAGGAGTCTGCTTCCATGGAAGTAGCATGGAAAGGAGCAGGACAAAAGCCAGGACTTCAGGTCTGGCGTATTGTGGTAAGGATTTTTCATTGATGTCTACCTTAAATTTGAATGTGATTTTGAAATTATCAATCTCCGAATAGGAATTGAGCTCATATCTTTCATAAATAAAGGCAAAGAGCCTAACCATTGCAGAACAAACATGGGTGCGGGGGGCTTTGTGCACTAACGAAAGATCTTGTCAGTTTATTAGTGTCAGAGCATTGTCAGTTATTAGTGTTTGGTCATTTAGTCGGCTGCTTGCTCTGTAGGCCGTATGCTTCCCGGGAACTTTAGAATGTTTTTGAGTGTTCGCGGGTCTGCAATTGTAATAATATATAGTAGGCCTATAGCTGGGACATATTCTATACAAATGCTCTTTATTGTGCTCTGGTGACTTCATTAGATGAGGACTTAAACACTTTTATGTGAACTGTCTCTAAAATTGGAGAATGCTGTGCTCTGTCATCTACAGCACTGTCATATTCTCTCAGCTTTTGGCATTACGTATAACTACATGTCATGGATTTTTGGGTGTGTAGATGGGTGGGATATGGGTGAGCTATTGTGTTTTGCTCCTTCTTTCTAATCAAACACTTATCATCTTTCTCTACTTCTTTTCTTTGAATGTTACATCTGAGATTCATTTGTTGTACGGAGTGTTGCTGGTGTAAGTGCTTGACTTATATTGCGATCAAATCCTGCTCCTGATCAACATTCAATAGGATGTGGAAACAACAACTCATTCATGGTAATGGCTTCTGAATCTTGTGGAATACTTATGCTGAACTTTATTTCCTCACAGCAATTCAAGGTGACCTCTTGGCCTAAAGAAGATCATGGGAAGTTTTACTCCGGAGATTCCTACATTATTCTGAATGTGAGTAGAGCATTTGTGTGTGTTGTATTCAACCAAGTTGTAGTTTACTGTGGGTTTGCATGATGATACAGAATGTACCCTTTGCAATTGGATTCATTTCATTGATTCGGGACCTGCTGGATTTTCCTCAATGGTAGGGCAAAAGTTACCATTTTGGCACTGTACGATCGAATTGACCCGCTACCTCGAAAATAAATGTGTTTGATTTTGAAGGTCCGCTGTAGAATTTAGTTTACTCAATCAAATGAATCAGATTAACAGTGTGTACATGGTAAAACAGCTATATTTAATGGGACAGCAGGCCTGAACTAAGGTCAGACTAAAAAAAGAAGTCGACAGAGCTTCTCACCCAGAAGTATCCACTAACAACACTACAAATATTCTCAAACAACCACCTGTCCAAGACATCACTATACAAACAAACCCTTTCCACTTCCCATCTAGCTTTTTTTTCTATATTATAATGGCACTATCCAAGAGAATCACCTGTCTGAGATAACCACTTTTCTCCTCGACAATGGGTGGTCGGTCATCTTAGACAGGATTGGCTGTATATTGTGCGAGGATGAATGGTGTGTAATAGACATTAAAGGCAATCTGTTAAAGCTTCTCTAAACAAAGTTTGTTCTCTTCGTGTCTGTTTATACCAAATTTAAATGTATATTCTTATTCTACACTATTGTAATAATGGTGGTTTATTATGTTTTCTTATGTTTCCTTGAGACTGATTGAATGGAGTTGATATGAATTAGATGTAAAAAATTGCTCAAGGTTTTACACACTATTGAAAGTGATTTGATTAGATTGCAATAAATTCTGGTAAATGATTCTAGATAGAATTTGTTTTGTTGTTCATGGAGCTGTTTCACTCATAAATTAAGGGAATTTTCAATTGATATTTGTCATGTATATTGGTAGAAGTATGGACAGCTTTCCTTTTTATTGTGGGATATGCAGTTGATTAGAAGGTGCCAGTCGTAGGTCCTTCTTTTCTTTCCCCTGTGTTGTTTCTCTCCCTTATTTTCTTTTTTCCAGCACAAAAAGCTGTTATTGTGTTATGTGTTTCTTCTTTCTCAAACTTTTCACTAGTTGCAATTGTTTGGGGGGGGGGTTTCAAAGCAAAGAAGTTGTCTTTATTGAACTGTCATTTTGTTCTCCTGTAGACATACAAAGAGGAAGGTGGTGACCAACTGCTCTACGATGTTCACTTCTGGATTGGACGAGAGAGTTCTCAGGTAAAATGTTATTTTTTTTATAAATGTAAGTCTTTTAGCCTCCCATCGACACAGTTTAGATCATTTAGGAAGTAAACTTCAACCCTGCCTGTCAGGGATACTGCTGAGAGGGATATGGTATCAGCAGAAAAGTTCCTGATAAAAATTATCTCCTCACGAGATTCAAATTCGAGTCTTCTGTGTGTTGTGGCGGAATGCCTTTGCGACAAAGTGGAATGAGATCAATTTCAGCCATCAGGAATGGTTTATTTTCACACAAAATTTGGAAATTCTGGTTTCACATCATGTTTATTTATTACTTTGTTTTCCTTTTGAGAATGTTCAGAACTGACTACTCGTATATTTAGTATTGACATGAGGTTTAATTTGTGTAATATAATATGTTGAATAATTTAAGTTTCACTCTATAAAGATTTAACAACTTGGGAACTTTCCTTCTTGAAAACTTCACTGTGGTCCACTTAGTTATGTTCGCCTAGTCAAAATGATCAGCTGTTAGGACCAACCATTGGTTCATCCAGTGTTCATCCTGTTTTATTTGGTGCAATCATCAATTTCTTTTTATTGCTTAATGAAGGAATCTCTTGAAGTCCTCTAAAAACAGTTTTTCTCTTAGGCTTGAGACAGGTATCTTTGCCCTCAAGAGATTGTTTGTGATTAATTGCTGTAATGTTTCTTTAAAAAGGAGAAATTAAAATTTTCCAATAATGAAAATAGACCTAATAATATTATGATGTGGTTGTCGTTTTCCATGAAAAAAAAAAGTTTCCTTGAAAACCCTTTCATGGTTAATTATGGAGGAACATTGGGAAGGGATATTATAAGTCAAACTCTCGATTTTGTGTAGTTCATTATGTCCCTTGACTGCTTGAACTTCAAAAGTGACCCTTTCTATGGGTGTTTTTCTTCATTAAGGCTGTGGAATTATTACAATTTCCTCTATATCCTACCATTTTCTGATACTTATTGCAATGCCATGTTTAACGTTGGAGAATTGGGATGTGTTCATTTGTACAGACGAATGTTTTAGACGGGTAACCGTTAGGGTAAGTTCAACTGTATTCATTTGTATGTAAACAAAGTACAGAATAGTTAGAAGTCAGTATATTCTATGCGTTCTATGCTCAGGATGAGTATGGCACTGCAGCCTACAAGACTGTTGAGTTGGACACTTTCCTGAATGATGTTCCCGTACAGCACAGAGAAGTGCAGGGCTTCGAGTCTGATCTATTCAAGTCTTACTTCAAGACCATCACGTGAGATTTCTTGTTGTTTTATTTTTAATCTATGAATCCTGTCCTCTTGTCATGAATTGTTGAGCTCAAGTTGGGTCAAGTAATTTCTGATAAGGAAAGAGCAGAGAAAAGTGTACATATCAATAGCTCCGACAATCTCCATTTTATAAGTAATCATTTATTGGAGTCTTGCATCCAGCCTTTGATTTTATGTCTTGAGATCTGAAATGACAAGGTGAAGCTGTGAATAACATGGGTTTTTTTAACCTAATTATATATGAACATTTTTTGGTTAGATTTGATAAGGAGAATTGTATGAAAACACTATGAAAAAGCAAGCATTCATTAATAAAGAAAGGTTTAAGGGAGTACGTCTATTTCAAAGCACATTAAAGCACTATGAAAAAGCAGTCCTATATTACCTACTGTTAATATTTACCTTTCATGTGAAAAAGTATTATTTAGTTTTGTTCTGTTGACAGAGTAATGAAGGGCGGAGCCCAGACTGGCTTCCGTCATGTGGAGCCGGAGAAGTACAAGCCCCGCCTCCTGCACTTCTGTGGGCAGAGAAGACAGGTGGAAATTAAAGAGGTGAGAGAGAGTCCTGGGAGAAGTTTATGCCTTATGTTTTTTGATAATACTAGACTGGCAATCGAGAGGTTGTGGGTTTGGGGGTTCGAGGCTCTGCTCGACACAACGTTAATTTTTTTAAGGAAATCACTGTACATGAATTTTTCTTACTTCACCCAGGTGTGAACTGGTACCCTGCCATAAGACACAGAAAGATCTTGTTTGTATTTTAGTGTTTTAGCAATGGCAACTTGCACTGTATGCTTCCCAGTAAGTTGAGATCGTTTCAGAAATGTATCAGGTCTGGGGTAATAATATAGATTGTAAAGCACTTAGGGCTTGCTGTTGAGCAGGAATTTGTGCTATACAAATGCTATCTGTATTATTATTAATGTTTTAAGATTGTTAGTATAGGAAATTGCTGCTCGAGATTTTCGGTTTGTTACAGCATTAAAAATAATTGAAAGAAAGGTGTCCAAAGTGTAAGGATAAGGCTTTTCATATTTGCATGCTAAATGTGTTAGTTTGACTTAAGCAAGGCAAGTCTATATTGTTGAGTATTTCTTCTTTCTGTTGGGATGCTGTATCCCACTCAGCCCAGATGCATATATTAATTTCCTTTTCAAGGCGATTATATCTTGAAATTCTTGTGACAAAGATGCAAGGTCATTTATATTGTGCACACATTGAAAGAGTCTTCCTTGCTCTCTGCAACCTGTCAGTTTTACTTACCAGACATCATGATTTTACTTGTTGTGAGTTGAGCGATTTTGAAGAGTAGAAACCCCTTCATTGTCCTCATTTTTTGTTTTCTTTTTTTAAGTAGGGGCTGTCGTATATTCGGATAAGTTTCATAATCAGTGTCTTGGTATAGGTACAGCTGAAAGCTGTTTAAAAATATAATTCATGTTAATGCTAAAGGATTTCAAACCCTCCAGGATTTTTTGCCATTCTTCTTCTGTGTACAGCAACTTTCCTGAGCACAATGAAATTCTCTGGTCCTGTGAAGTTCATGTTATCTAGAGTTTTACTGTATATTTTTCCTATCAGGTTCCTCTCAGCAAGGATCGTATCAAATCAGATGATGTGTTCATTCTTGATCTTGGCAAGACGATTTATCAGTGGAATGGCTCAGGCAGTAACAAAGATGAGAGGTTTAAGGTAAGTCTTTGTGCTGTAATCATTTTTGATGAACTCTGTCCTGCAGCTTGTTTTAGTTGGGGTTGGGTTTGACCAGTAAAGCATAAGGCATGGGACTTCCATTTTAAAGATTAAGAGTTAGACTCCTGGTTTCATCAGGTAGAACATAGTTTCTCAAGGAAAGATATCCGATTCAGTTTTCCTCATTTGATCCAAATACAAATGGGTATGTCAGTTAGCAAATGTATGTTCCCTGGAGGGTCAAAATGGTCATTTAGAATGGACAAACTGCTCAAAGGAATTTTTGTGAAGCTATGTAAGCTTTGAGAGGATACATGGCTATATACAAACAATATTACTTCTCAAAATCTGTAGTCTGTGTACAGGCTTTCAGAGAGAGAAGATTGCCCGTAAATTTAGGTGGGCAGTTGACAGGCGCTCGGATGTGGTTTGCTTCTTCTTCCCCATCAAACATCTATTGTCCTTTTCTCTCAACCTTCTTTTCTTTGTATATTACTCTCTAGTAACACCTCTAGTCTTTCACACTTATATAACCTACTTGTGTTACAATTAAGTGCTGTAAAATTCTTTCTAAAACTATACTAAATAGCCTAAATTTAGTTTGCTATGAAATGTACACTCCTACTGCGCACTGACTTTTTCAAGCGAAAAGTTTATTAAACCTTTTTGTTTATGTCTTTTGTGCACCTGGAACTTTGTGTTACTAGTTAACATTTTGTTCAGAAAACAGACAAATCCGTCTAACTGATACATTACTGTTCTTACTCAGGCTGGCCAGTTCTGTCAACAACTGGAGTCTGAGCGGTGTGGACGGGCAAAGGCTGATGTGTTGGAGGAGGGCAGCACAGACCCCTCGGTACGTAAAGTTCTTCAGCTCTGATTGAGACAGTAAATTACAACGAATTGTAAAATACATAAAGCCTTCATTTGAGCAGGGATACGTGTGTGCTACATTAATGTAGTCAATTATTGTTATTATTATTATTGTTATTACATAGAAGTAATTTTAGCTCAGTTCTGTTTGTTTTGTTGTTTTGTTCGGTTTGTTTGTTTTTTTAATTATACCCTGAGCTATCACTTTTTGATACCTGTTGTATGATGAAAATGATTGTAGTGTCTTAAGCAGAGCATTTTCCGGGACATTTGATAGAGGATCAAGTCTTATGTTTTGATTTGCAGACGTTTTGACATAATGTTAGTGGTATGCTCTTTATAATAAAGAAACCTTTTCGGGTATACCAGTACCTGAAGGTTTGCGAAGGTGAATGAAAATGCTGCTCCACCTTGTCTCTTTTGAGTTATGTAAAGTTTTCTTGCCTTTAATGTCATACCTCTACAGTTTTACATATTATATAGTTTTAAAATCAATAATGTAAAACTAATACCCATTGTTTCATATATCTTGGGGGTTTTTTTATGTTTGTGAAAGAATGTTTAGGAGCAAACTCTGTTTTATTAACTACTTTATATGTTTCTGTTGTAGCATGAATTCTTCCAAGCCTTGACCGATGATGATGAAGATGACAGCAATGATGAGTTCAATGCTCAAGATGGCCAGCAGGAACTGTTCAGGTGAGGCTGAGAGGGAAAAGAGGGAAAATGTGAACTGTGCTAACAAAATGAATTACTTCTTTGATTTTAGCCCAATGGAAATAGCTTTGGGAAATTCATAGGTTGAGTTTGAGCAGTTTATTAGTTTAAAATGATAAAAGACATGTTAGACTTGAAGAAAATTATGGCATCAGTTGAAAATCTATAAATTTGATCCCTGATTTTCTACTGATATCTTCATTCAGGGATTTCGAGCTTAATTTGTCAGCAAGGAAAGTCAAATTGAAAGCTTCCCTTTGTACAGACTGTTAGCTGTTTCAAAGTAGTAGCCATCAATTGTTTATACTTTGATTGTTTCTGAGATTTTCTCTGAAAAGAACTCTGTGTAACCGTAAAACAAAATTGTCTTGCAATATGAAAGAAGTATTTGTTTTATGTACTTTATATTAACCACTTCATTGCTGCGTAGATGTATTTGATCTCCCACATTTGTTCTCTGCCTTTTTTTTCAACTGATGTATAAGAACTTTTCAGAAGATATACTTGCGATATGTACAGCTGCACTTTCATACCAAGAGTGGAAAGTACTGTGGCTTTGTTTAAATTCACTCTTGTGTGAATAATCTATCTTTTTGAAATATATATAGCACATATATTGAAAGAAACGCCTCAGCACTGAAAGTGTTAAATAGTGAGACAACTTTTGATTCTTGTTTTTCAGATTGTCTGATGCCAGTGGAAGGATGACATTCACAGTTCAGAAGAAGGGATCAGTGTCCAAGTCAGATTTTGACACAAGTGTAAGAAACTCTTTACTATTCTGTCTCTTTTGTTTATATTCAAGTGAAGAGAATGAGAACAGAGTTTGTGGTGTAGCATTTAGGTACTTTATCATTGTACACAGAAGACATGAGTTTGATTTTCATATGGATAAGTTTTATTTAGTCAAGTATTTCAGTCTGTCTGTTGGGATTTTGTATTCCTCTCACATCAGGTTAGCCCTGGCAGACAAGATTGAAGTAGTCCACTTCCTAAATGATTCAGATTGTATTGATGGGAGCTTGAGACATTTACAATGACAAATTGTGTCATGACTTGGAAGAATCAGGTGCTTGTCAAGATAATGGAATGGAAGAAATGGCATTTTTCTGCCAGCTGGGCAATTTTCATTGCATTTTAAAATTTTAGCTCAATACCTTTTATGTCCAGTGCAAGTATCATACATCTCTTACAAAATAAAAAAAATGATATTTGAAACAGTCTTATTTGTTATGATGATTTTTGCAATTATGATTTTTATACCCTCAGGATGTGTTCATTCTGGATGCCAAGAAGTCCCTGTATGTTTGGGTTGGAAAGGGCACATCCAAGGCAGAGAAGAGAAATGCCATGCAATATGCTCATGTGAGTAGGTCATTCAACTGCAGGGATTCTCATCTTTTTTTTGGTCAGTGACATCACACCTATTAAGGGGCTGTAATAGTGGTTCTTAACTTTGCTAAAGGTACAAAACTGGTCTCATTTGAAATTTGCATTCACCAAACTCTTAGAGTGGGATGAATGGAGCAGACACAAGCACACACAGTGTGAGTGTTCCTTGACTTCCACCAAACCTCTGAGACCAACTCACCTAACAAATGGCATTTCATCAAGTCTAGTTTGAGAACCACTGTGTTCTAATATTAAAGCAATCGATACCTCAGAATTACAAAGTTCTGTCTGCTCAGTACCTAGTTTTGAGAAACCTGACCTAAAAAATATTAAGTTTCACGTCATTTCAATCTTTTTCGAATGCAGTTATTTGAATGTGTTGATAACGACTCTGAATAATCTTATGATTTTGATAGAGCCTATAGAACGTTTGGTTTCTGACCCCATGGTCTTAGTAATTCAAAACAACCAAAAATGTCAGAGAGAAATTTGTAATTCTGAGATAATGAGTTATGGGAATGTTCTTATCAGAGAATTTGGTCCATGAACAGAAAAAGCCTGAGTGCTTTACTCATCTCTCCGTCTCTTAAATCTTAAGCATAATTAAATGTCTGTGTATATATTATGTCTGTGTGTGTATAAGTGAGTGTGTTTGCATGTGTCTGTGTGCATTTGTGACTTAGAAGTGACACTGCTACGTCATCCCAGGTGAGACTTTTAGGTTCTGACTCCAGAATCGGTTGATAAAGAAAAAAAATACAATGTGGAATGTGAATGTGAAATGAGGGTCAAGTTACAAAAAACTGTATGGTATGCATCATTGATTATTTCTATTGTCATGTAACAAGGGGTCAAACATTCTTTTGAGATGTTCTGATTATAGATTGTCTGGAGACTTTTTAGGGTTCTCTACCCCATCATATTTGAGATAGACATAAATTGTAAGGTTCTACCTCTTTCATAGTTGATCAGAAAGGCATTAAGTACAATTGGTAGAGAGGTAAGTAACTTTGAATATCTGCACAAAACAAAAAAGGTGGAACTAATGCTTAGTGACCATAGCCACCCACTGACATCAGAATTTCAATTATCGACCTGCAGTAAACGATACATTTCCAAAAAAGCAAGAACATACAGATATATAGAAATTCATTCGTAGCAACTGCAGTGAGGTTACTGAACGCACAGTGCTTCAAATGACAGAGAGAGAGAGAGTGAGAGAGAGTGAGAGAGAGAGAGAGAGATATAGGGAGAGAGAAAGTTTTACGGAGCGGGTTGTTTCAGCAAGTGAGACATGTATTTACTTATGTCCTGTCTTGTTGTGCGTAGGCGCGAGTGCACCTTAGCTTTGCAACATCTACTGCCATTGTAAATGACCAAGACAAATTTCTCCCTGCGAGATGAATAAAGATTGTCATTTTTTTTAATGAGATGTTAAATTCTTTATCCTTGACTTTCCTCTTTTACAGGAGTACTTGATGAAGACAGACCATCCTCTCATCTCAGTGAGCTGCATGCAGGAAGGCCGAGAGTCCAGAGACTTTGTGTCTGCCCTAGCAGCATAAACACAGTGTTGATTTTTTTTCTTATGTCTATATAATTACAATTATAATAAGATTGAAGGGCAAAATCCCGCAGGCTGTATGGTCAGATGCAATGCCTACAACAATTACAATTAATTTTTATGACACAGCCTGCGAAATAAGTATAAGTGGAAGCTTCAAAACTCAAAATGTTTCACTGAGAACAACCATCTCAAACAGAAGGCAGCATAGCAGAACATTTCTTTTTTTTCTTATTTTGCATTTGCTTGACAAACATCTTGTGTGAAGTGAAAAAAACTACAGCTGATTTCAATCATAAAGTAAAAAAAGATGTTTTTATTTGTAACCATTTCCAGAATCATGACACAGAGTGATAAAGAAAAAAGGTTCCAGAAATAAGGAAGGCTCTTTCATTACTCCTAATTGCTCCGCAGATATGTAGGCCTACACAAATTTCAGTGTCATTTGTATCACATTCTAAAAATGATGAGTGTACAGTTATTGTGTTCAAATATTTTGGATATTTGGTTATCTTGAATGTAACTCAATATAAGCATGATTTTTGTCACTGTTTTGGGTTTTTTGTTATTGTTGGAGATGTTTTCTTTAATCCATACAGTGATATTGTGTTGTCATTCATTATCCTTTTATATGCATGTAATTTTGTCTGTTTCAACTACAGTTAGACTGAGGATGGTTTACCACATTGTTTGAATAGTGTGAATTGTTGTTGGGTTTTTTTCATGAACATTTTTTTCATATTTTTCCTCCTTTTTTGTTTTGATGTTATGGGAGAGGGTAAAAGTAGATAGAAAATGTTTTCTTAGAGTTTTCCATTTCTGCATGCCATAGATATAACAACTATAACGTTGTGTAAGGGAACTTCCAAGTAGCTATGTACCTACCGGTCATGTCTTCCAAAAACTTCTTATTTGACTGAAATGCAATTTTTTAAAATAGTCTCTAGCTGTGCACGTATGTGCTAAAACTTTAACTTCTGACATGTCATTCCATAACCAGCTATGTGATAAACTTGTGTGCTCAAAGTTTAATTCATTTTTATAAATCTGCTCAGAGCTGAATGATCAAGTAAGTACCAACAAAACTAAAGAGCTTGTCTTACAGACATAGCAAGATCCAGTTGGGTGCTTGGAATGTTTTGAAATAAATTTGGAAAGAAGCTGCCAAGTTCAAAGTTGCTCTATAAAAATAAAATCTGTGAAAGTATATGAAGAGTACGGCGGATTAAAACAGCAAAGTCTGTTTCTTAATTAATTTGAGTATTACCTCATGGAGATTTCATGGCACTGTATAGTTTAATGTAAACTAACGTTTTAAAGTGAGAAAAAGGGCAAGGTCCTTGTAAAGATGAAGGAAAATACTTGTCTATCCTTTAAGATATGAAGTTTCAAATTTTGAAACTAAAATTTCTCAAAATCTCTGAAATGTGAAGTTTTCATATATAAATAGAGTAATTACTTTTAGTTTTGTCATGATAATCCTTTTTGACAGGTATTTAGTCATGTAGATATACTATATACACGAATTTGTCCAGAGGAAGGGGGAGAGTTTTTATTTGTGTTCTTTTGACACAACAGTTACTACCACATGAGTGTATTATTTCAATTTCAATATATAGAGTATTTCATTTTTTTAAATCCATAGCCTTAGTGTGTTTGTTAGATTTAATTATTATTCTAATTTCTTTTGGTCCATATGATAAAATCATCTTATCTTTTCTTTCTGCTGTTTTGGATTATATTAAGATAAAGTGACCATAGTTTATGCCTTGTAGTCAGGAGTTCCTTAGGTTAGATCCCTGTAGAACTGCACAGATTTTCTTCTATGCCAGTTACATAGAGTTCTCCAACATTCGGATGTAGTTTAACCCAAGTGCAGTGAGACATGACCAAGAGAACCTTTACTTCATGTTTAAAGATTAATTTATTTTTTTTTGGGGGGGGAGGGGGAAATAATGTAAGACATAACAAAGCAAAAAAATCACCTGTCCAGACTTTTGTACCACTTTGAGAGGACAATAATTTGTACTGAAGTTCATTGTATGCCCCTAATTGGGTTTGTAATGTTCAGAAGCACTTCGGCTGGATGTAACTAATAAAGATTCAACATTCTTCCACTCCTCGAGCTTCCTGAAGTATGATTAAAACTCCATTGTTCACTACTTCCGTACGTATGTGACATGAAGTATTTTCTTGAATTCCATGAAAAAGTTTTACATAACCTAACGTTGGCATTTTGGGTAGACATAACCTTGCTGCTTGAAAATAAACACCCTTCCGACCAATACTTAGAGCCATGTAAGCTTCAAACTTCTGTTCCATGTGTCATGCAAATGCAGAGCATGTCTGTGACAATGGGGCTAACTAACAACCCACTGCACTGGTTTTTGTTGGACTAGAGTGTATAATAGTTATACACAGAAGCCATTTTGTTACTTCATGTTCTGTGCATGGATCTGAATACATAATCAAAAGATTTTTTACGTCAGGTACATCCCACTGATATGCTTTTAGATGCTATAACAAACAGCTTTTTGAAAAATGTGTAATATTTAGCTAGACATTAATAATAATAATAATAGATAGCATTTGAATTTGCATAGCGCAAATTCCCGCTCAACAGCAAGCTCTATGCGCTTTACAAATAAATAAATACAAGAAAACATTTCTAGATACACCATGCATTCCACACTTGCTCGACCTGCATAGTCATTTTTATATGACATGCTTTGTACACCAAGTGTAGTTAGAGGGCCGATTTTTCATTCTGATTTCTCAGTACCTTGCAGAAGTATAAAGTAGCTGCTGATGAAATGTTACAGTTACAGTACAGCATCAACCTCTGCAGATAATTTTGTAGATTTATACTACTCTTTTATAAAAAATATTTCAGTATTTTGATGACTTCCTAATGGACAATAAAACATGATTTAATTATATACGTAGCCAAAGTCAATTTCATCACAGATGTGTTGGAGTGGAGAATGGGGAGTTTCATAAAGTTGCATTAAAATTGTTTTTGTTTTTTCTTAATTTAAAGTATGTGATGCTACTGATTTATACCTTTATTCTGTTGTTGTTTTTAGTTTGGATTTTTTTGGCAAGTTTGTTAGTAAAGTGTAATTGTGTGCAGTGGTTCTCATTGTCTTCAATTAACGGCTCAATCCAATTCTAAGATTCATGAAATTGTACTGTTAGATTTCATATTTATACTAAATTCAGTGAAAAGAAAAAGAAAGAATCTGTGTATCAAGGATATCTTTTGACATATTTTTTTTTGTAATAATTAATTTTAGACTTTTAGAAAAAGGAAACAAAACTTGTGTTTTGTGTGAAACCTTTTTTCATCAACCTGCTCAGTTTAATAATAAAGTTTATAAAGTCTTACCAAAGATTTTGTCTCTTTTATCATCTAACTTTGGGTAAAGTCAATGACACTGCCATGGGCATTGTTTTTGGGCTCTCTCACTGAGTCCAGCTTGTTATGTAAACTGTTAAATATATTCATTTTTCTGTCTGTCTGTGTTTTACTCTCTCTCTCTCTCTCTCTCTCTCTCTCTCTCTCTCTCTCTCTCTCTCTCTCTCTCTCTCACACACACACACACACACACACACACACACACACACACATGCATAAAGATACTTCTTTCTCCCACTAATTGGATTCTTCCTCTCCTCCTCTCTCTCCTCTACCTCTCGATCCTGTCTTCCAAGTGTGTTGAGCAGGGGCCTGAGCGCCATAACAAGCTTGCCTGACATTATCTGCCTATTATCACAGGTCGGCGCACCGCGGGGTTACCTCTGGCCCATCATTAACTTATTACCCAGCCCTCTGCTCTCAAATAATCCCCTAAGTACGCTTGTGTGTGTGTGTGTGTGTATGTGGGTGTGTATGTGTGTGTGTGTG